TCTCAATTGATAAAATAAAGGAAAAATATAGATCGGCCCAAATTAAGTCTTTTTCTGGATTTAGCTCTGGGGAAAGCTCTCAGATTCTGTAGTGGTGGCGACTTTCTAGAGCCACACAGAAGTAAAAATACCCCCCTGCTGTTTTCCCCAGATAGACAGGGCGAGGGGAGGGACGCCCATCTTCTCTGCGGCCCAGCTGCATCCCACCAAGTGGGCGAGAATCAGGCTCCATCCCAGGCAGGGTCTTTGCTTTCGTTCCTGTCTTGTGTCTAGATCTCAGGGTCTGTAGTGAGTGGGTTTTCGTGGGACTGACTTTCAAAAAGTGTCTAGTTTCACGAGTCATGTGGAAACTCACTTTCATTGTAGAGCAATCCAGATCCGTGTGTGAAGCCAAAGATGTCTTCCCCACCTTTAATTCCAGCCCTCTCTTGAGAGGTGACCACCACTGACATATTGCTGGGCGCATCTTCCAGGCCTTTCTCTGTTTCCCTCCCTTCTTACTACATGGCATAATTCATACAAGTTGTGCATTAAAAAAAAACATAATATCTGGGTGAATCTTTCCATTTCGCCATGGAGTTTTTCTCGTTCTTTCTCACTGACTTATGGTGTTCCAGAGCACTAATTTACTATACTTTAAAACCTCTAATCACTCCTTTGTCAATTGACTCTTGGGTTGAATTTTAGTCAACTGTTTTGTTGCTGCAACCAAAATTTTAGAGGAGGAAACATTTATTTGTTCCTCGTGGTTTCAGAGGTCTCTGTCCACGGATGGTCGATTCTATTCTTCGGGATCTGAGATGAGGCAGAACTTGATGGCTGAGGTGTGTGGCAGAGGAGGGTGGATCCTCCAGAGAAGAGAGAGAGAGAGAGAGAGAGAGAGAGAGAGAGAGAGAGAGAGAGAGAGAGAGAGAGAGCGCGCTCGGCATTCTCCTCCCCTGGACAAAATATGCACCCCAAAGGCACCCCAAGGACCCGCCTCCTCCAGCCACACCCTACCTGCCTGTAGTTAATCCCCACTAGTAGAGCAGTCCGTGGATGGGTTAAGGTCTCAGAACCCAAGCATTGCACCTCTAAACTTTCTTGCATGTTCTCACACCTGAGCTTTTTGGGGACACCTCATATGGAAACCATAACAGGTTGTTTGCATCTTTTGTTTCTATGAGTAATTCTGCTGTGATTTTCACATGCACATCTCTTGGTATACCCACGAAGAATTGCTCTTGGGAAAACATAGGAATTAGAATTACCAAGTGAAAAGAAGACACATTTAACATTCTGAGATTGTGATACTGAGCAATGGGCTTCCAAAAGGACAAGGTCAATAAATGCTTTCCTGATCAGTGGATGAAAAGATCCATTTCTTTGTTCTTTCACCCAAACTGATGGTTTCCAGTTTCTTAATGTTTCCCCTCTGATTGCTCCTCCCTCCTCCCCRAGTGTCCCCACCTCATGTCTCCCCTCTCGCCATCTACTTCTCTTACAAATCCCACATGGACACACTTCATACACTCGTTCGTCATGTTCAAGTCGTAAAATGACACAAACATGTGTCCATATGGTCAGAAGTCATGGAAGGAAACASACTCGGAGACCACACCCACCCGTCTTTACACACGGTCTTCTTTCCAGTCAAGATAAGAATATTAGTGGGAAAAGTGGTGCTGGACTATCTCATTTCCCTGTGTGGGCGGCCTAGATAAGTGGCCTCCGAGGCCTGGACAATGCTACTGGACCTGACAGCCTCTCTGCAGCTCCCCTCCCGGGACCTCAGGGACCGGGGCTGTGCTGGGGTGGGGCCTGGGAGTGGAGCACAGCTCCGAGCAGGCCAGAGGGTGGACAGAGATGCCTTGGACAGAGGGGTTGTCCAGAATCGCTGGGGGATTGTTAGAGTCACCGCAGAGCGCCCAAGTTGTCATGGCAGGAAGTGGGCATGGCAGAGCAGCCAAGCTTGGGGCAGACGTGCGACAGGTTTGCAAGTCTTCTTCCTTCCCCATGTGGGGGTCAGATCCCGGCACAGGCTTCCCGGTCCCTCCACCCCTGCCCTTCTTCTCCACACCCTCAGGCTTCACACTGTGCACCTTTCAGTAGTTCAGCAAGTGCCAGGAGCTCTGCTGCTCTTGGCGCCTCCTTCCTGCTTCCAGGAGCTTCCGGGGCACCTGCTGCCATGCTAATTCTGTGCTTTGTGCCCCTCCACCTGCTCCTTGCTGATGCATCCCACTTTTATGGACTTGGTCTCACAGATCCAGGTTGCCCCTGAGGGCCACTTCAAGTCACGCCTTCTGTGTGGGCAAGGTGCCCTGCAGGTCAGTAGGTCCTGTCTTCTCCAGGTGGCRGGCCGTCCCACACTGAACTGAGGCTGGAGTAGCAGCCTGCTCTTATCCCCATAGCCAGGGTTGGGAGAGGACATTGGAGGCCAGAAGACTCTACTAGGAAATCTGGAGACCTTGTTGGGCTGAACAGAGTATGAAGGTCGCCCACCTCAATGACCTTGTTGGAACGTTGTGATCTAAATGGGTGGGTGGGTGAGCAGGGCTTCTTGTGTCTGTTACAGATGGGAAACRGAAGCCTCCAAAGACTGAAGGACTCGCCCAAGTTTGCACAGCCAGGAGGGGAAGAGCCCAGGTCTCTGGACTTGAAACCTGGTGTCCTGGCCAGGGGCCACATTCATGGGAGCGTGGCAGGTCGCTCCACTCAGCCTGCACCCTGAGAGGTGGACAGAGAGTCACTTGCATTTAGATGGCCTGTGGCCAAGTGCCAAAAGCCAAGTGCCAATGTCTCGGCTTGGCACAGAATCACGAGCCACCACACAGCTTTGTAGGTTCAAACAGCAATTCTTTATTCCCGATCTCACACCAGCCTCCACACACGTTCAGGGGCAATTCCAATATGTCCGATCCCAAATCCTACTCCACGAGGCTTTTTCCAAATCCCGTTTTAATCTCAGGAGAACTCAACGGGAACAAGCAGCAGGAACACCCTAATCCCAGCAGCAATAATCTTCAACCTCAACTTCCCTAAAACTCCTATTGTCACGCCCTAAACCCAAGGACGGAGATACTTCCTGCAGCAATACACCCTAATCCTGGATCCACCCTGATGATTGAGCAGGGTCACCTTTCTCAAACACACAAGCAAGGTCGCAGCAAATTTCCAAGRCAAGTCCATTTAACATGGGGTACACTGGCAAGGATTACGATGCRTCATACCTACTTGGTAATGGCCCTCAGCAGCCAAGAAGGAGAGAAGAGACACCATGGGGACCTTGAACACAGCCCGTCTGGAGGGAACGTTTGGACTGTCCTCTGTCCCTGGCCTCACAGGCTGAGCACTAGCTGGAGACGTGACTGAGCCTTTCCCTGGAAAYTGTCCCATGCTTTGCTCTTTAGTTAGACTGAGAACTCAACCCCTCAGACTGCTTCCCCTTCTCAATGAATAATTAATCTTGGTCACAGTGACAGGCAGGTCCCAGGAGCCATGTGCTTAGATGTAAAGGCATGAGGGTGTCCTACCAAAGTCTGTCTGGAAGTGGGAGAGGTGTGTCTGAGCCAAAATTCTGTAAAAGAACTAAGGGTAAAATGCTAACCGGAGRGAGAACCCCGCAGAGGGACTCTGGAGCCAGGAGTAGGAGCCGCAGAGCGCAGAGCTCGGATCTGGAGCGGGTCCAGAAGGTGGAGCCAGCAGGGAGGCCTGACTCCAGGGGGAGGTCAAGGGGAAGGGCTGAGAGGACGATGGCCACGTGGTTTTCAAGGGCTTTGAGCTACAGAGTCCAACTTCCTTCCAAAAAGGTTGATTCAGTTTTCACTGTTGTCAGCCCAGAGTGACAGTCACTGTGGGCCAGCACCTCTCCAGTCCTCGTTCTCCTCATTAGGAAGTGGCRTCTCAGCTGGGCGCCATAGTGCACCCCTGTAAGGCCAGCTGCTCGGGATGGGGGGCAGGAGGATAGCAAGTTCAGGGCCAGTCTGGGAGCCTTCGTGAGACTCTCCAAATAAAAACAAAAAAGGATCGAGGTGTGGTTCAGTGGTACAGTGCTTGCCTAGTCCCCAAACAAAAGAACAGAAAAAGAAAGAAAGAAAGGAAGAAAGAAAGAAAGAAAGAAAGAAAGAAAGAAAGAAAGAAAGAAAGAAAGAAAGAAAGGAAAAAAGAAAGAAAGAAAGAAAGAAAGAAAGAAAGAAAGAAAGAAAGAAAGAAAGAAAGAAAGAAAAAGAATGATAAAGTGGTGTTTTCTGAAAACAAAGAAACGGTGAGAAGACAGATGTGCCAGGTCCCCTGAAGTCCCTTCTCATGTCCTCCGGCAAAGGTGAGACCTAGAGAGCGCCTTTCGACACCTGGGATGGGGAGGCAGTGAACGGTSGAGTGCGGAAGAGGAGGAGAGAAGCCTGCGGGGCCCAGAAGGTGGGCAGGACTGAYGTCTGGCAGGCACCAGCCCCCAGCCCCTCCTGCTGCCAGGGCTACTCTGATCCCCTGCCTCACATCCARCCTCTAAGTGAGGTGAGGGTCTACACTGGGGACCATGGACTGTCACTGGGCAGGGTAACCTGGTCTGCAGGCTCCAGAGAGGCACAAGAAGCCAGGGTGGGTGGGGCTGGGGGACCCTTCCTTGGGGAGCGTCTGGGCCAGCAGGATCCCCACCCACTGGCACCAGGCCCTCAGGGAGCACAGGAGGCACCAGCTGTCCTGGCCTGATGCTGGACCACCCCCGCTTCTCTCTAGTGACTTCTGAAGAGAGGAAGAGGTCGCAGGCCTGGGCACAGGAGTGACGGTGRGTGCAGGAGGGCAGAGTGGACGCACGTGGGTCCTAGGATCCAGCAGGCAGGAGTTCAGGACTGACGTGGCGGTCACAGAACCATCACCCATTCCCTCAAAACTGGTCCAGTCCAGCTGGTGGGGCTGAGGAGGCCAGGCAGARTAGACCACCCCACTAACACCCGTCATGGAGACCTCCACCAGACAGAACCTGGTGACAAATGATTCATTACAAATGTAGTTATTACTATTTCTTGTGGTGCTGGGAATTGAACCCAGGCCTCAAGCATACTAGGCRAGTGYCCTACCACTGAGCTACACCTCAGCCCACACTCACATGTGTCGAGTGCTGATTACCTGCGGGGCACAAAACAGTGATTTATTAATATTCCTGATACTTGCTCTGAGAAAGGAACAACCATACCCTCATTTTATAGATCACAGAACTGAGATCTAGACAGGTTGGGTGACTGACTTGACTTGAGGTCACATGGCTGTGGGAAGCCAGCAGCACAGCCCCAGAGTCTGTCCTCATGGGTGACCTCCTTGAGCATGACCTCCATCCTCAAAGCGTTGGACCTGATTGGAAAAAGGTGCTGGCCATGGAGCCACCAGAGAAGTGACAGGACCCAGCAGGTTGTGACCACTTCCCTGGGGCCCCTGCCAGCACGAACAGATCTCTCCCAAGCCGCGTACTGGGCCCCTGAGTCCCATTTGACACTGTGAAGGTCGTGGGTGGAAAAACCAGAGAGTGGACACCTGAGAGGATACAGTGACTCAGGCTGTGGGCCCTCCCCTTGGGCCGCGTCCTGTCTAGAGAAGACCCAGGAGCCCTCTGAGCTCTYGGAACGGCTGAACAGGACTGAGGCGCTCAGTGTGGGCAGAAAGGAGGGGCTCTATTTGAAGAGCCTCTTGTCCTCCTGTGCGCCCAGCTGCGTGGTGGCTGCCCCCTGCAGTGTTCCCCAGGGCAGGGCCAGGGGGAGTGGAGGGCGGCGGGGAGGAGTGTGCAGAGCCGAGCTGGCCCAGAGCAGGCCACGCTGTCCTGACCTGCAGCCTGCAGCTGACACTCCGCAGAACCCTGTCCTGTGCCAAAGTAACCAGAGCCCAGCGCGGCCCCTGCGGCTCCTCCTGCGGCTCCCTGTGCTTGCAGAGGTCTGGCCAGCTGATAGGAGCTGGCCCCACAGATGAAGTCATCTGTTTTGGTGCCAGGGAAGGGAAGGACTGGTGGGAGCAGGCGGGCTGGGGGGTGACCAGGGCCGCACTCTGTCTGTGTCCCCCAGGCTGGCGCCACAGGATGGACAGCCTGGGTCTTGTCTGAGGGTGCCAGGGTGCTGGGGGCGGTAGTTGGGGTTGGGAGCCCTGGAGGGTGGGAGGTGACCGGTAGGAAGTCAGGAAGAGGAGCTGAGGGCGGTGCCGTGGCGGCTGGGAATGGGAAGGCCTCCTCCTGGTGCTGCTGCGGGTGCCCCGGGAGATTGCATCCGGGGTCAGAAGCAGACCCTCATCTTGGAAGGGGACTGTGGCACCGAAGGTGAAAGGAGCCCACGTGGCACTGGGAGCTGAGCTCCTAGCCTGCTCTACCAGCACTTCTGGTCTTTGTCACTGTCATTGACGCAGCCCCACACAGTCTGCTCGGTTTCTGCCAGGACCTCAGCAAGCTTGAGTTTCAGATCCATTTTTCTAAAGAGAGAGAGGGCACGCTTCCTGTGCCAGCGACTGTTGTCTGATTTCAGTAGTGGGGTCCAACTCAGGGTGACGTGCCTGCCAGGCCAGCACAGCTCTGCGGAGCGACGGCCCCAGCCCCCCTTAACTGCCAGCTGAAGTGCCACTCGAGTACACAGACCTTGTGTGTGTGGATCCATGGACGATTACAAGTGCAGGTGCCCATGCCCACTGCCCCAGAGCAGGCCCAGAGCCGGCTCGGCTCGCTGCCCCCTCCCCACAGAGGCAGCCACTCCTCCTCCTGTGGTGTGGTTTGTGTGTTCTTGAGATTTACACAAATGGCACCCAGCGGCACCACTCTGGCATTCCGTTTCTCGATCCTGTCACCTGTGTGGAGGTCTCCTGTGTTGCACTGCTGTGAGTGGCAGCAGTCACTCCCCAGTTGGGTCCATTCCATTGCAGGAACTTCCCAATGGTCCACAGATGCTCATCTACTTGGCTGGCGATGRGCACGCCCATGCTCTGGCTATTAAGATAATGCCCTACCCCATTCCTGTCCACTCCTGTGTGTGCTGAGGGACGCTCACGCTGATATCTCTTGGATTCAGGCCTACGAGCATGAGTCCGAGGGTCACCATGTACCTTTAGATCCTGCCGATTTTCAAAAATGCACACGTTTTACCAATTTGCATTTCCTCTACAACATCTGAGAATTCCAATTGCTTTGCCTTTGTGCCAGTGCTAGGTATCATCAGTCTTTAAAATTTAGCCATTATGGTGGGTTTGTATCGGTAGCTCACCGTGGCTTTAATTTATGTTTCCCTGATAATTAATTAAGTTGACCATCTTTCTGTGTGTTTGTTGGCCAGTTGACCTTCTCACTTCCCAATGTTAATTTTTTTTTTTTTCAGTACTGGATATTGAACTCAGGGCCTGGAACATGCTGGGATAATACTTTATCATTGAACTGCACTCAACCTTTTTTAAGTTTTATTTTGAGACTGTGTCTTCCAAAGTTGCTCTGGTTGGCTTCAAACTTGCCATCTTCCTGCCCTAGCCTCCCAAGTAGCTGGGATCACAGGTACATGCCACTGTACACGGCTCAGCATCTCTTTTTAAATATGGGCATTGACTTAAYGCTTTCTTCTTCTTCTATGTAGTCTGTTTTTCCCCCTGTAAACAGGCCTTTCCTTTCATTAAGTCTTCTACTGTTTATTGTTTGTATTGACCAACTGTAGGCAAAGGACAAGYATTGATCTAGCTAGATTGTCTTGAAGATTAGAAACATTTTATAAGAAAACGCTTATCTTGTGTCCTGGAACACATTTCTTCTGATCTCTTGTTTAATAGAATCTGGGAATAGGTCTGAAATGTTCATCAGTTCTCATTTATCAATGGATAGGTTACGGTGCATTCAACACGTATTGAATTTGTATGATGTACTGGGCATCATGCCAACCACCACTTACTTGTGGTCTATCACGTGGTTACTATTTTTCCAAATACAGATGAATACCTTATGTTTGAAAAGTACCTTTCTTTTTAAAAGAATAAAAAATTTAAATTGATTCTTGTTAGTTATATACCATAATTAGGATTAATTTTTGTACAATCATAAAAGTATGGAATGTAATTTGCTGATTCAGCCCCAGTATTTCCCCTTTCCCTCGACTCCCTCCCCTGTTCCATTTCCTCTCCTCTRCTGATCTCTCTCTCTTTTTGTTATGGTCAGTGTCTCGTGGAGGTACACTGGTGAGGCTCACTGTGGTGTAGTCACAGATGGAYGTAGCAAACTGAGGTCAGTTTCACCCTGCTGTCCTTCCTTATCCTGTTCCTCCTCCTCCCTCCTCATCAAGCCCCTTTCCCCACTCACTGATCAGCAAAGTAGCTTTCTTAATGCCACTCAGCATGAGTGACACATCAGGGTTGAACCCAGGTAGAGGGTGTCGAAGCCCATGTTTATGTGCAATTAAAAAAAATGGTTGGAGTTGGAGAATATCATGCTAAGCGAAATAAGCCCATCCCACAAAACCAAAGGCCGAATGTCTCCTCTAACATGCAGATGCTAATTCACAATAAGGCGGGGCGGGGGGGGGCACAAGAGAAGAATAGCATTACCTTAGATTAGGTAGAAGGAAGTGATGGAAAGGAAGGGGAGAGGATGTGGGGACAGTGACTTGATGGCAAAAGGTACGACTTATGCAGTCCAGGGGGAGAAATAAAGAATGTCCACACACTTCTGCCTTTGTCAATGCTTTATTCACTCAAATCACTCAATACAATTTCACTCTATAGGTTCTCAATCAAGAAAATGACAATCCTTAATGCTGGGCACTGCAATAGACATAATCAGTTCATAGCAAACAATTCTAGATTAATTCTAAGCCCGGCAAACACTTAATCATGACAGGCTCGTGACAGACATTCCCTCTTCGAGCTAAGTTCAAGTGTCAGATGGAAAGTCTCAAGTCTTAGGCTCTAAGTCCAGCAGATGCACACTCACTCAGACCGCAGCGATCAGCTCAGGGACTGAAGCAGGCTTCTCCTGGGGTGGAGCTGATGGCGGTGAAGGAGAGTCCTAGGAAGAAGTTGCATCTCTCACCAGGGTCTGGATGTGGCCACACATGAATTTTTGGGGAACCCTTCATATCTAAACCCTAACAGTAAGGATTTCTTTTCCATTATTCAAAATAAAAATCATTTTCCTTTACTAAAATGGCATTAATATGCACCTTCCCCCTCTCCCCCCAGGTCCCCACCCACGACGTGAAGCGCCATCTCCTTCTGCCTGAAGTGAGGTTTATATCCAGCTTCCCACTTTCCCAGCTGTCTCACTGTTGCAAACTTTGTTAAAAGTTGTCTCCTAGAAGCAGAGAGGCTCCTGGGATGAGGGTCGGTTTTGCTGCCCGTCCAGCCTGGAAAACAAGCCGGCTCCGCCCCCTGGTGGTGGGAGTCGGAACCCGGGCTTCGGCCTTGCAGCCCTGGGTCCTCACCTGCAGACCTTGGGTCCTTTGACGTTGGTGAAACCTGAAACMGCGGCCAAGTGGGCAAGAACACAGCTCAGCGCTTCAAGGCTCCTAGAGGCTTGATTCCTTTTGGCGCCACCATCGGAGTGAACTTGATGTTGATCTGTTCTAGTCTTACACTATCTGGCATGTGCTCATTTTCCCCAGTAGGAAAGGTTGGAAAAGGTCCAAGAACTTTTAATTGTGGCCCCTCCTTTTTGCCGATTTCCTTCCTAAATACACTGGTGTGGAGCACGGAGCTCAGAGCCCCCGGATGCCTTTCGGAAGACCTGGATCTTCCTCTGGGATGTGGGCTTTCTCACCTGCAGAGGTGAGTTCAGGGGCCTTCCCGCGTCCACATCCAGGCCGCTGTGTGGCTCCAGGTGGGGAGCTACTTTGGGCAGCAGGTCTTTCCTGCATCTGCATACTTGGGGCTGCTTTCCTGGGTCAGACCCAGCTGTGGCAGGGGTGTCCCTGTGGTACAGCCTGCTCAGTGCTTGTCTGCCTGCTCACCTCATGATTAGGAGATCAATGGTGGTGACCCTTGGTTTGCATTTCTATCTCGTCCTGGATTCCTACTTGCTGTGTGACTCAGACCACAGCTTTAATCTTTCTGTGCCTTTATTTCTGTAAACCATCAGGCTCTTTTTATTTTTTTTCTAAGACAGGGGATTGAACCCAGGGGTGCTTGAACACTGAGCCACACCATCAGCTCTTTGTTTTTAATTTTAAGAAAGGGTCTTGCTAAGTTGCTAGAACTGGCTTTGAACTTGCAATCCTCCTGCCTCAGCCTCTTGAAATCACTGGAATTACAGCCGTGTGCCACTGTGCCTGTTTAGCTGTCCTGTTCTTTAAACACAGGTTACACAGCTTTCTGCCGAGTGGGAGTGGACAGTCTTTTGGGAAAATTGTGGCTCAGAGCAACATGGCTATTATTAATTCACTTTTCCTTTTGACTTTGTATTATTACTATTTTCATAAATGATTTTAGAGGAGGCATATGGGCATAGCGGCATTACCCCGGAGGTGAAGCAAGACTGGACACTTTTTTTTCCTTTTAATTGTGGTGCAAAACGCAAGTGTACATCACTGCAGTGTTAGCACATTGCTTTATTGTAAAACGATCTCTAGAACCTTACCTTACAAAACAGAATCTCTCAAAGGAAGTGACCAGTGGTCAAGCAAGACTCCAGAAAGACGCGGTTTCACCGTTCCTGTCCCTGGTAGTCTCTAAACGTTGTGCTAAGGGAGCAAAACGGGCAATGTCTGCCACCTGGTGGTGGCAATGAGACATAACCGCAGCACCCAGGCTCGCAGGCKCGGGGACAGGGRAGGCCTGTCGGGACGGGCAGATGGAAGTTGTGTGCCTGGCTGTGGGATGGTTCCCAGCGGCCTGGCGATCTATTTAGACGGGGTCTTCCTGACAAGCCACGTATTCACGTATCTACTTGCTAATCAAGAAAAATGGGCTCGTGGCAGCAACTCAGCTGTCTGCTGCTTTGCAAGAAAAGAAGGTCGGTTTAAAAGCATTTTGTGGCACTAAGATGTCCCCAACTCCGCTCTCATCTTCTCTCGGCTGTGCATGTGCAGACACCAGCACACGTGGGGGAGTAGACAAGACCGAGTGGGAGGGCAGGAGGCCCTAGTTCTCATGGGCCTCACCAAGAACCTAGTCGCGGCCTGGTGGCCTAGCCGTGAAGAAGGTGGTGGACCGTGAAGAAGGCAGGCAGACAGGATCACGCATCACCACCACATTGGTGTAGTCCCTCTGGTGTGGCCTGTCACACCTGGGCTGCAGACCTGTGCAGCAGTTTACGTGCTGATGTTGTGAGCAATAGTACCCAAGGGTGAGCACGCGTGCTTCAAAACATTTCTAAATACAGAAAAATCACAGCAAAAATTAGGTGCCAGGAATTTTCCAGCTCCATCACAACCCAATGGGACCCCTGTGGCCGATGTGGCCCATGTTGAAGGGAATGTCACATGTGGTATGGTCTGTGACTCTCTGTTAGTGTTCCCCTGCACCTTTCCTTCAAAACAATGACAGATTTGTTTATTTTTATTCATTTACTTATTTTGGTTTATCACTTCTACTATGCTGTAGGCTCAGAGGACAGAGATCATCTGGGGGGTGTTGCTTATTCATGTAGTGAGCATGGAATCATGTTTTAGGCAAATAAGTGAATCTACGAATAAGGAAGGAAATGGATGAATTTGGGCATTTTGAGTCGCTTGCTCTTGCTCTAGATGTAATAGCATGCTCAGAATTGCCTGGGATGGACACCAGCAGTGTTTATCGCAATGTTTAAAACGTGTAGCGTCCCCCCAAAGCTTATGTGAGAAGGTTTGGAGGAGAAATGATCGAGCTATACCCTTAACCCAACTAGTGAATTAACGTTAATTAATCCCTGATGGGGTTAATGGAGTGGTGACTGGAGGCAGGTGGGGTGTGGCTGGAGGAAGTGGTTTACGGGGAGTGTGGCTATGGGGTATATGTTTGTATCTGGCATCTGGAGTCAGTCTCTCTCTCTCTCTCTCTCTCTYTCCTTCTCTCTCTCTCTCCCTCTCTCTCTCYCTCTCCCYCTCSCTCCCTCCCTTCTCTCTCTCTCTCTCTCTCTCTCTTTCCTTCCTTCTCTCTTTCTCCCTCTCTCTCTCCCTCTCCCCCTCCCTCCCTCCTCTCTCTCTCTCTCTCTCTCTTTCTCAGCTTTCTGATTACCATGTGAGCTGCTTCCCTCTTCCACACACTCCATCATGATGTTCAGCCTCAACTTGAGCCCTGAGTAATGGAGCCTGCTGTCCATGAGCCCTGAGTAATGGAGCCTGCTGTCCATGAGCCCTGAGTAATGGAGCCTGCTGTCCATGAGCCCTGAGTAATGGAGCCTGCTGTCCATGAGCCCTGAGTAATGGAGCCTGCTGTCCATGAGCTGAGACCTCTGAAACCGTGAGCCTCCAAATAAACTTTTCCTCCTCTAAAATTGTTCTGGACAGGTCTTTTAGTTACAGCAGTGAAAAAGCTGGCTAAAACAGACAGGAAGGTAAGTCTGGATCAGGGATGATTTCAACAGGTTGGCCTCAGACCAAATATGACAAAATGAAGTCACAGAGGAAGAGCAAGGTTGCGCCCTAAGGTTGGAAAAACAAAATCCATGATATCAGTGTCCRTTTTGGGAAGATAAAGATTAATTACACCCCMATACAAATGCTGAATCTTTAAGAAGATGGAAATATGAAGTACCCTGATTTGATTGCACATTGTATACAGGTATTGAATCATCACATTGTGCCTCAATTACTGTGTGTCAGAAAAGATTGACTACAGTGTAATGGTTCATCTGGGTTGTCAACCTGATGCCCAGAGAGATGCCCAGGACCGAGAGGATCCCYGTGTGCCTGTGAGGATGTTTCCGGAGATGATTGTCATGTGGAACAGGAACTGAGGGGAGACGCGCCATAAGTGTGGCAGCTCTGTGCAGCAGGCAGGGCTGGTGGGAYAGAGGCAGGAAGGAGGACGCTGTGCAGACACCAGCTCCTTTCTTCTGGAGCTGCTGCCTGAACTGCTGCTGCCCACCTGAGGAGGACACTGGACTCCAGGTTCTTCGCTCTTCCAACATGGAATCGCCCCAGGCCTCCAGTCTCTGACTGGGGCTGCATCCTTGGTCCCTTTGGCTCTGAGCCTTCAGCCTCTGAGACTGAGCACTACTGATTCCTGCAGCCCTCCAGCCTGGAGACAGCCACGGTGGGACGACCCAGCTTCTGATCCTTAAGCCCATCTTGTGCAAACACACAAACACACATGCACATCCCCATCGATTCAGTTCTTCTAGAGAGCCTTACTGATGGAAAGAGGAGCCTGCAGTTTGTTGCGTGAAGGTTGAGCCGCTCCAGCCTCTGAAGACTTTGAAAGGTGGAGAAATGGCTTTGAGAAGGGTTTCTGGGGCCGCCCACCCTGACCTTTTAAGGCAGCTTGAGAGGTACAGGACTGGAGTTGCTAAATGGTTCACTGGCAGCTGATTGCCTTGTGCAGACCCTGGGTAAAGTGAGCAGAGGACTGGGGAGAGGGGAGCTTTCTGCTTTCCTCCCATCCTGGCTCACTGTCTCCCCAGGAACATCCCCTCCCTCTCTCTCTCTCTCTCTCTCTCTCTCTCTCTCAGGTTCCACACCGAGCATTGTGTTCCACTGCTCACCTCTGCCCTGGTCCAAGCTTCCCGTGTTCCAAGGAAGTCTGCAGAGGACCTCGCGTTCCATCTGATCGTGTGTGATCATGGGTGAATCTCCCTCTCTGAACTGGAGGGAACAACCACTTTCTCCTTCTTTGCATACCCTCTGGGGGCCATGCAGGGAGTGTCCAGTGGCTGGAAACCTTGCTTTTCCTAGCAAAGCTCGACTTATTGTAAATCCTTTCCTGGGCTGGCTTTCCTGTTTTTAAGAGGATGTGGGTAGACAAGATCCCCTACCTCCCCAAGGAAAARGATCCTCTCCTATTCAGAACTGCGTTGGTGAGTAGTGTGCTCCAATATCCACACCCACCAGGAGCCCAGGAGTGTGGCCTTGTTAGGGAGTGTAGGTAACCAGTAGGCGAGGCCTGCATGCCAGCCAGGGTGTATTCTAAAGAGGGCTGACAGAGACGGGCGGAGGGAAGTTGTGATGTGACACACAGGTACTGGGCCTCCCTGCTCTTCTCTTTTCTTCTGGAAGAATGACAGGGTCTTGATGAAGGTCTGTGGCTCTGTGACAGTGACAAGKTGCTGCTGGCCCCGTGCTGCCCCGTGGACAGCTGGCTGTTGGGTGTGGTGGGCATGGGTCATGGTTTCTGCATCTGTGGGAGCAGCAGTGTTGGGTGTGTGGGATCTTAGGGTGACACTGGTCCCAAGTCATCAGAGTCCCTGAGCCAAGAGCCCCCAAAGCAGCTTGGCCACCAGAGCCTTGGAGCTTGAACCCACAGGGGCTGCTGCTCCAGGATCCGGCTGCATTCTGTGTTCCTCACTGAACCCACAAYCCATCTAGGTTCCTCTGCTTTCAGAGAGGGGCTGCAGTCCAAGAGCAAGGACTCTGGGTCAAGGCTGGCCAGGTTCCAGCCCAGCACTAGCTGACTCTCACTAATGTGTGACCTTGGAGAAGGCTCTTCACTTGGGAAAGTCAGAGATCATAGATTAGGTTATGAGGATGAAGTGATTTGATCCATGTCAACCACTTCAAAAGGTGGCTGGCACACAGCAAACTCTTGCTTTTATGCTCAGAATATGTCATATCCTCGGGCCTGTTGACTTGTATTAATCAGTTGAATATGAATTTGAAACAGGACTTAGTGATTGAAGATGAGAAGACAGAGAAAAAAAAAAAAAAAGAAAGTGTATTTCAGTATCATGCCTCCGTAATACGACTTCTGGAGTTTTACCAATCAGCAGAGACTGGCCTCCATCAGCTGCCGCTGCTCATTAGTGAACCCTTGGATCCTTACCCACAGATGGGAGTTTAGTCCTTTTAGTCATTTACATATATCCTTTTAATTTTTTTTAATTTGTTTTAATCAGTAATAGACAGTAGAATGCACTCTGATACATCGTGTATAGTGGAGTCTAATTTCTCCCTCTTCTGGTTGTACATGATGTCGAATGAGTTACTTTACATATAGCCTTTTACTCTTCCTCTTTGTTTAAGTCTATGGATTGAGGAGGCAAAAAATTTTTTGCTTTTACACAACAAGACAAKATATTGTGACAGAATGCAACCCATGTCCACCCTATTTTACAGCCAAAGAAACATTTGCCTTCAAGTGCAAGACAAGAACGAAATTCCACACCAGAGTTCCCAAACGCACAGTCCCCTGAAGGAAACAAACAAACAAAATAAAACATGGAAACAAATCAGGCTGGGAACTTGAGCCTGCATGAGCAGGGCAGGAGCCGAAGACCTCCCACCCCCATCCCATCCCCAACCTGCTGCTGACCATTGCAAATTGAAGAAGCCCCTGCTGGGTTGACACTATGGTGCTGATTGGGAACTCCCGGGGGGAGGGAGACTGCCCTCCCACCATCTCACCTGAAGGAAACGGGATCACCAGGAAGAAGAAGACAGTCGGAAGATACAGGTTCATGGCTGCCCAGGGCACAGAGCTGCTCCTCCCCTGGCTGGCTGGTGGGGAGGTGGCTTTATAGAGCCTGGCTGAGATGGGTGGGGCTGGACAGTGGCCTTCTTCTTCCCTGGAGCATACAGCTTCTGCAGGGTTGGAGGAAGAACAGCCCTTTGTCATTCAGCACTGCCTCCTTTTCTACAAACTCAGCTGGGAGCAAAAATGTTTCCCCTGAGCAAAGCTGGACTGGAAACCAGGCTCTTCATGCCTGGCCCCAATACAATTCCTCTCACACCTTAAAAATGTAGGGTTAGGGTCTACACTGGTCTTCCTTCCCTCCTTCGTCCCTCTGAGAAATCAGGGAAGTGCTTGTCATAAAACACAGGCTTAACTCAAGATGGGGAAGGGTGTAGGCAAGAACTCCGTGCAGGGGCTCACAGAGGCAAAGCATCTCAAGGTGTCTACTGTGCCTGACCCAGGTGATCAGAAAGTGCACAAGGGAGGCTTCTTCCTCTTCTGGTGGCCTATTGATCCACCTGGCTCAAGGGCAGATACTGTAGGAAATTCCCCAGCAGAYGACCTTGATGGGCTTCATTTTCCAAATAGCCGTACGAAATGTTGGCTAGGACGTGGGGACTGTGAGGGGTCTGGGAGAAGTTCCCACTTTGGAGAGGATGAACTGGTCTCTTGCCAGGAGAGCCAGTGACCTGCTGAGCACAAGGATGGCTGCCCTAGAGCTTGACAATGTTTCCCTGGAGCTAGAGACACAGTTCTGGGAAAGGATCATTAGGCTCTACCCCCTAGGGGCATGGGTGGGTGACTGATATTGGAGAAGAAGCTAGATTTGACTTTATTCTTCCCCTTGAGGCAGCCTTGTACCTCCCCAGCCCTCACAATAGGACTCTGAATCTGCAGTGTGGCAGTACAGCTTGGTTTTATTCAACATAGCAGGCGTCTGTCCTCTGGGTCATTGTTCACTATTTATCTCAGATTCCTTTTCTCATAGAGTGCACTGTTCTTAGAAGGATTTTTTTTTTTTTTTTTTTTTTTTTTAGCATGAAATGAGGTAGAACTCACAGTATACTTTGTAGGCATTCCTTTGGTCCTGGTTATTAAAGTCTGTCCCTGTACTTCTCCCTCCCGCTTGGTTCCTTTCTGATCTCCTTTTGATTTCCATGAGATCTGCCCCCAGATCTTTTCCCTTTTTTCTCTCTACTTTCCACGCAAGAGAGAAAACCTTCTGAGTTTGACTTATTTCACTTAATATGATGGTCTTTAGTTCCATCCATTTTCCTGCAAATGACATGATTTTCATTTTTGTTTATGGCTGAATAAAACTCCATTGTGTATACATACCATATTATCTTTTTAAAAAATATTTTCATTATTTGTTGATAGACCTTTATTGTATTTATTTATATGTGGTACTGAGGATTGAACCCAGTGCCTCACACATGCTAGGCAAGTGCTCTACCACCGAGCCACAACCCCAGCCCCAACCATATTTTCTTTATCCAGTCATCCATTGATGGACATCTAGGCTGGTTTTACAGTTTCTCTTGGCCTCAGAATCTTAATCTGCAAAATGATGATGTTGGTTTTATTGTGTTCTCTTAGGCAATTCTTAGCTCTAAGAGRGTAAGTGTATAGTCTGTGCACGTGTGTATTTATGTATACATGTGCATATTGATGTCTTTGTATGTCTTGTGTTTGTATATCGATGGTAGACCTTTCCTTCTCCATCAGACCTTTCATTCCACCCCGACAAGCACATAATCTAGGACCTTCCTTTTATTTTAAATCTGACTCAAAAATACTTACTCTCAAGTTTCCCTCAGGATTACTTGCACTTTCTAATCTGTGGCTTGGTCGACACTGTTGGTGGAAAGGTGCGTGTTGTGGGTATGTGAGTGGGCCAAGTGGARGAAGCTTATGGGCCCTCCTCGTTTGTGCTGAGCCCCTCAGAGCAGGAGAATAAAGGTGGAGACTTTCTTATGAAGGTAGAGATAGTTCTCAAAGATTCCTAGGTTATATCGAGGTGCTTCCGCACTTCCTTGACCCCATCATCTGCTAGTGGCTACTATTCTCTTCTGTCTCTAAGTAACCTGAAAGTTGCCTATGGACAGTCATCAGTGAATAATAGGAACATTTCCCTCATTTTTTGTATCCTGGGTGGCCTGATAAGCCTCCCATGTTCACCTGCATTATCTCATTAGTACTCGTCACAACCACATGTCACCAACCTCACTCCTGCTCTTGTTTTCACTAACACTCATCACACACTAGCATTGGTATTGTTGACATAGTGGGTTTTCAGTGAATACGACAGTTTCCTGCAAGTGAACAAGTGAATAAGGTAAGGTTCAGTTCCATGAATGCCGAGTCTTTATTTCTTCCACTCCTTCGCTTCCTGGACCGTTTGGCAGAGAAACCCTGGATGAGACTTACTTTCTTTTCTTTTGTTTTCTGAATGAATCCAGGTGCATTCTACTACAGAACTATATTCTAAGGCTTTTTGTTTTCCCCTTCAATTCTGAGACAGAGTCTCTATGTTGGCCTTGAACTTGTGATCCTCCTGTCTCAGCCTCCTGAGTCACTAGGATTGCAGATCACTCTTCAGATGCACAGGATGGGGCCATACACATTTCCCATCTTAGATCAGAATAAGGACCGTGAAACTGATGAAGAGCATGGCAGTGTGCACAGCTCTCTGGTATTCCTCCATGGTCCTGTTTATTTCAACAGAGCTCCCCTCTAACTCCATGTGACACAGTCCTATCAAGGCAGGGGCTGTTCCGGAGACTGTCTCTTTGTGTCTCAAGGCCTYATGTGGGCAGAAGTTCTTCACGTGGATCACATCAGGCAAGGGATCGTTGTGCTGATCAACATGAGTTGCTTCCAGGTGCTCACACACACTGAAGGAGAGCTAGTTTGACTGCTAGTTAGGCTAAATATTCTGGTGACTAACTTTCYGCTACCAACATCCAGTCACTGCCTACTAAACTGCTCTCTACACCCCAGCTACCCACCCACTGGAAAAGCCCAGATCATGTGACCCCTAGGCTCAGGAAAGCTAAATAACTTTTCAGTCGAGTGACAGACCTGGAGTTTGAACACAGTTGTCTGAATCTGAAGCTCATGATTCTAGCTTTCTGCTTCTTTCTATTCAACTGACCATTCAGCTAGCCAACATTTCTCGAGAATTTGCTGTGTGGAAAAGATGAAGTTGAATGTTACTACTCTTAAGTGGCTCTAATCTACAGATGACCCTGGATTTATGATAAAGTGACATACTGATGACATCATCATAAGTTGAAAATACGAGTTGAAAATGCGTTTAACATGTCTAATCTTTTAAATAGCACAGATTAGCAACAGAACATAATTGGCATGTTGGTCCTTTAGCATTGTGATTGCATGGCTCACTGGGAAGTGCAGCTTGCTGTGTTGGTCAGGATCTCGAGAGAATCTTGTATCATATATGGCTGGCCCTGTGAAAGGTAATCCAGAAATCGAAGTAGGATTTCTACTGAATGCACATGGCTTTCACACCATCGTGAAGTCAARAAATTTTAAGTTGAGGCATCGTAAGTCAGGGGTCATCTAGAGTAGGGAAGAAAACTATGGCAACACCTGCAAGTCTTGTGGGTTAGGATGTGAAAAACAGGAAAAGATCTTTCTCTCATTTTAGAAACAAGAAAATCCTAAACAAAATAAAGATTTTAAATGGGCTAGAAAAGAGCAGGGGATCCAAGAGAAGTTGGTGAATTGAATTCCAGAGAGAAAAAACTCTACATTAAAGGGGAAATCAGACAGAGCCTAGACATCCATGTGGGATGGCAGGAGGGTGGATGAAAGCACCAGTCACTCAGTCCTCCAGTCTTCTCCCAAGACTCCCAGTTCCTAAGTTTTGTTGGGAAAGTGCCCACAGAAGAGGACTAGTAAATAGAGGAAACACTTATTATTCCACTTCCCTCAAGGGCAGCGAATCTTAAGTTACTGCTGGAATTGAAGCCCAAACCAAACCAAACCAAACCACCACCACCACCACCACAAAAGGGTAGCAAGCATTTTCCCAGCCTGAATTTCAAAATGTGGAAACAGAGAAAGTGGAGTTGGGTCGAGTTTACAGATGGCTTTTAAATACCTTTTTAAGTATTTTGAAGAACAAATCAGAAATGGCCATCATGGGTGATACTGATACCACCAGTTATCAATGACGAGTCCTGCTCTCCCACAGGTTGAAGTATAACATTGGAGAAGCACGCCGAGGCAGGCATAGGAAGCAGGGTTTATTCAAAAAGGGGTAACAGACTTCTCCTGGGAGGGAGAAGGGGCCAGAGCTGGTATCCTGATCCCAAGAAGCGAGGTGTTCTGCCCCTTTTATAAGTCCTAGGCTTCCTTTGTTCTCCTGCCCTCTCCCCCTTATCTCTGTCCTTCCTGCTACCTGACTAGGCCCAGGGATGCTCAGTGGGAGGGCCAAAAGTGGGAAACAGTGGGCTGAAGGGAGAAGGGCAGAGTAACCCAGGACACATTAGTTAACAACCTTATAGTTCCCTGTAGGGAGGGGCAACTCCTGGGACAGGTGACCTTAGCAACAGGTAGGAGCAGGGCAGGTTCTTGATAAGGATGGAGGAAGGCTCTGAGGAATCAACATTTCAATCCCTCAGGAGTCTCCAATTTGTGGGACTCACTCAAAATTGGCCTCCTTGATCTGACCTGACTGATTTACCTGTCTRTTCTGACTGCCTGTCTAATTCTGGCTTCATATGATGGAGTGTTTCAGAAGAAAATTATACAAAAAAAAGAAATTCTAGTCTTGAAAAACTCTGTATCTAAAACCTAAAGTTTATTGTTGATGTATAACCACAGATTGGGTAATGGAGAACAGAGCAGTGAACTTGAATACAGGTGAATGTAAATGATCCAAAATGAAGTGCACAGAAAAAAAATGTTAAAAAAATAAACATTAACAATGACTTATGAAATAATATCGAGTAATCTAGACAATTGCAACTGGAGTT